TATATATCATCACCCTTGTTGCAATGATAAGCATTTGGACCCATTTGCACCAGTTATTCGTCTGTATTTTACTTTTGTATTTTAAAATATTTAAACGAAATCCACATCTCATGTCATGGATGATTCAATTTCTCATTGCTATAATTAATTATTTTTTTGCCATTTGGCTCTCCTTTTTTGTATTTTTATATTGGTATGCACATAGTTGTTTATATACATTGTGAGATATATATATATTTTGCTGTTGCTGTTATGTGCCATCGAGTCGCTTGCAACAGCCCTAAACTCCGCTCTGTCCTGTGCCAATCGCACTGTCTCTGACACTCCCATCCCGATTATCCCAGTTACTGAATCAATCCACCTCATAGAGGGTCTTCCCCTCTCCTGCGCTGTCCCTCCACCCTCCCAAGCATGGTGTCCTTCTCCAAGGACTGGTCTCTCCTCACAACATGTCCAAAGTATGTTAGACGGAGCCTCAGAATCCTTGCCTCCAAGGCGCCACCCAGTTTAACCCTTTCCAGGACAAATCTGTTTGTTTTCCTAGCAGTCCATGGTATTCTCAATACTCTTCTCCAGCACCACAGCTCAAAGGCATCAATCCTCCTTCTATCCTTCCTAGTCATTGTCTAACTCTCTGATGCATAACAAGTGATTGCAAAGATCATAGCCTGTATCATATGCACCTACCTTAGTCTCCAGAGTGACACCATTGCTCTTCAGTACCCTGGAGAGGTACTAACAGCAGACTTTTCCATCCCAATATGGTTTTTTCTTTGTTTTGTTTTGTTTTGCATTTCACACTTTCCTTCATTGACACTAGGCTTCTTACAATCATTCTCACACATTGTGTTTTATAAATTAATCACCATTGGACTATGCACAGAGGAAGACATTCAGAAGGCCAACAGACACATGAAGAAATATTCAAAATCGCTAGACATAAGAGAAATGCAAATCAGCACCGTAATGAAATACTATCTCACCACAGTAGCAGTGGTAAAGTTTAGCAGGCTAAGCAATAAATGTTGGAGAGATTATAAAGAGGTTGTAACTCTCGTACACTGTTGGTGGGATTGTAAAATGGTAAACCACTCTGGAAAGTAGTTTAATGTTTCCTCAAAAAAGGTAAACATAGTATTACTCACCATTGCAGGAACATAGAATCAGCCCAAATGTCCAACCACAACTGAATGGATTAAGAAATTGTGGTTCATTCACATGATGGAATATTATGCAGCGCTCAAGAGCAATAATTTTGAAAATTACTACGTAACTTGATTCTGTAACTAGGGTAATGGGGAAAGGCATGTCACAGAGAGTGAGATTGGCAAGGGATAGAGCACGGTTTAGGGCTGTTGTACTTAGAGTCACTATCAGTCGCAAGTAATTCAACGGCACATAACAACAACCACCACAACAACATAACTTAGGAGAGACTGGAAAGCATTATTCAGAATGAACTAAATCAGTATCATAAGGACAAATACTGAAAAGAGTATTATTGTAAGGGAGGAAAGGATTGGAGCCGAGGAATGAGAATGTATAAGGGGGATTTCACAAGGTCACACAATTTGGTGGCTGGAGGGAGGAGGTAAAAGAAATGGAAAGACCTGGTGGGAACCTGAATAATTGTTTTCTTATAACAATAATGCCATTAAAATGCCATCATTTTGCCATTTTGAAAAAATAAAATGGTTTTTACATCATTTAAAACTTTATCCTTAGACATTTATCATTTATTGCTTATAAAGTATCTTATGGTTTTGTTGTTCAACACAATACTCACAAATCATAATTGTTTGTTATGCATCTAAAATATTGTGAATGATAGTCTGGTATCCTAGTGGCAAGAAGCTGTGCTGCAATCCCGAATGCACAGAGTTCAAATCCATCAGCCAGAGTGCTTCTTGGAGGCAAAGATGATAAAGCTTCATCTCACATACTTTGTGTGTGTTGCTAGGAGATGTTATTCCTTGGAGAGGGATGTTCATGCTTGGAAAGGTGGAGGGAAGGTGAAGGAGGAGGAGACCTTCAACCAGGTAGATTGACACAATGAATGTAGCAATTGGATTGAGTATGTCGAAGATTGTGAACATGACACAGGATAGGACAAGGTTCAGAACTGTTTTTCGTAGGGTCATTATGAGTTGTACTCTACTTGGAGAAACCTACAAACAACAATAACAATCTTATATTCACTCTTATGCCCCTCACAATTAGGCCTCTAAATTGACTATTTTATTACTAATTTAACATCAATATTAAGAATGCAAGTCCAGGAAATCCTCCAGATTTTATTTCTAATATAGTCTTTAAGTATAAAGTAACTCAATAAGGGATTACATTTGTAGGATGTCGTAACAATGCATTGCTTTGACATTGCTAAACTCTAATAATTCAGTTTAGATGGTCATTAAAAGGGAGTACTACATTCTGTTATCTACAAATGCTGATGGAAAAATGAGTACTACAATCATTATATTACAAGATTATAAGGATTTTCAGGTTATTCAATATTATTTTATAATAAATTATAATTGAAAACAATTACTGATTATTATCATTATTATGAATGTATAAACGATAGCTGTTGTCATTATGTACCCTTGAGTGCGAACCAACCCATAGCAGGTTCTCCAGAGGGTTTTCAAAAGGCAGCTAATTTCACTAGAGATTGCTCGTCTTTCCCCAGCAGAGTAGCGGGTAGAATCAAACTGTGTGACTTTGAGATTGCAATGCAACTTCTTACCACTAGGCCACCAGAGCCCCTTAGATTATATATAGAATATATATTAATAGGACATTTTAGTGTTGCTGTAGTGCAATACCACCACCACCAACAACAATAAAACT